AAAAAAAAAAAAAAAAAAAAAAAAAAAAGGAAAAAATATGTTGGTCTGTTTTTGCCTGTTTGGTGTGCCTAATTCCTGTACTATACGACGTCGGATTCGCAGTATTGAGTCGTGATGAACCGGACTGAACCGGACCCGGCCGTCGGTGCGAACCCGTTTGTTTTGTATTTTAACAATTAAGTTTCCCAACCAGATACAATATGCCCAAACTTTGTTAATTGGGCCAAGACCACGATGACTAAAATCAGGCCTGTCCCGGCCCACTAAAGAGAATAGGCCCACTAAGGAATTGGCCCAATTGGGCCGCTTGATTTTGCATCGGCCTTGAGATTATGGGCTCTGATTCCGTGGCCCAACTTGTACAAATCATTTTAAAATATTAAATTTATAGTTTAAATATAATTACATGACTAAATTTATAATTTAACATTTTAAAACTAAAAATTTATTTATTTTCTGATAAATATTATTATTGTTTTTTTTCTATGAAATTAAATCATAATTTAATTTTGTCTTAAATTCAGCTGAAAACTCATCCTAATTTATTGTCTTTTAATATCCAAATTCCAACGTATTTCACATTCCATATTTATATTTATTTTGTATTTTGGTGTGTGGTTATTTTATTCCTTTGTTTGTATTCACGCACGGTCTAGGGGTATTTATGACTTTTCACGTTCATTTTGGCGGCTCATTTTGAGTTCTTTAATTATACTTGTTTCTATTTTTTATTTTTTAATAAAATATTCGAATTTATAATCAAATATTAAAATTAAAACTTTGAATTTTAAAAAAATTATCTAAATTTACAAAATTTACCGAATATTTAATAAATCTAAAAATTCACAGACGTATTTTTTTAGTACACAGATTTGAAAGCTGAACGGAGTACCAAATATACACCAACTTTAAAATTTAACGACAAAAGTTTGAATCACTTTTAACTTATTTTAAGGGGCCGTTTATATTCTCAATTGGTAAGTTGTTCCGAATTATTTTTTATAATTTCGAGATATCGCCTTTAATTTATTTACCTTGTCGTTTCTATATATATTAGACAACTGTATGATTTCACATGTAGTCGGCATGTATTTCCTTTTGAAAGACGGTTACAACGGTTACTAAAATATTGATAAAAAATTAAAAATATCTGACAATACAGCGTTATCAACCAAAATATCTCCTCATCACATGTTTATGACCCATAATAAAAATTAACCTTAATATAAATCACAATTAAATTGAAAAATATATATTATTATTCTCTAATTATATAATAAAAAAAACTTTATAATTATTAAAAACATAAATTTTATAAGGACCTATAAGAAATTATAGTCTAAAATTTGGTCCATTTAAATTGTTTTAAAATAACGAAAAAGCCACGCAACTATTACATTTGTTGGTTTTGGCCCCATTCCGGTGCATGCTTGACTATTTTACGACGAGTCAAACTTGGACACTTGTTGACCAAGTCCTCTCCGTTTCTCTTCTCCTCTCATTTATTTATTTCGATTATTAAATTACTTTTATTTTTATAATTTTAGTTATTTGCTGATTAAAAAATATTTATTAGCATTTTTAATGTAATTTTGGAAATATATTCTATTTCACAATAATTATCCTTATTATTTAATGGATTTGGATGAAAATTAACTTTAAAATATTTAATTTAACGTTTATTGAAAATGTTACAAGCCAAAAAAAATTTAAAAATGTTAAGGATTAATGCAACAAATTAATTTTACTGTAAATGAATAAATAAATATATTCGAATTAATTTAATAAATATTATGATAATTAAGCTTAATCGCTCAATTAATTCAAAAGGTTTAGAGAAATTTATCACTTACTTTATTAAAAGTTGGGCTGCATCACAAAATAATTAATTATTAAATTAAAAAGAAAAAACCCTAATTATTTTTGTTAATTAGCACCAGCTAATTTCCGGACTCCTTTAATGCTTTGTACACGTGGCAGAAAATCTTCAAATGATTCATCGATTATTAAATGAGGGAATGGAAAAAAGTCGCCGTCAACTCTTTAGGAGAATCTCCACCGTCGGATCATCGTGAATGAATAAATATTTATTTATTTTTATTTTAGTGCATTTTGTAGTAATTTTTGCAATTTTAGATAAATAGTGTAATTAAATTTATAAATCTCATATTTAATTGTAAAAAAAAAAAAAAAACTAAAACTAATTATCAAACTTTATTAAATTATTTGGTCTTAATAAATTTAAATTTTTTTTAATATATAGTAAAATTAAATTATAAATCTTAATTTAATTTGTAAAAAAAGTAAATTAACTATTTAAAAAAAAAAGTGAAAAATGACTTCGTTGGACTCATGAACATCAATCGGTCTCTTTTATTCTCTGTTCCGTTCTTATTTTCTTCCACAGTATGGCCCACTGTTTGCGTCTATGAACGGATCCTCACCGTTGGATCGTGAATCCACTTTCACTGCCAACCTGCTTAGCCGGTCACCTCGAGGGCTATTAAATCATCCCCAACCCCCACACTCATCTTACTTTCTCCGCAAACTTATCTCTTCTCTTCAATCTCAGTCTCGTAGTTCAGTCTTTTCGTCTCTGTTTCTATTATCGTAGCTTTAAGCTCTCAACCATGGCGGTCGATCTAGTGAGTTTTCCTAAGATTGATGATCAGATGGTTATACAGGAAGCTGCATCGCAAGGATTGAAGAGTATGGAGCATCTGATTCGTCTTCTTTCTCACAAGAAAACTTCAAACCATGGCGATTGCTCTGACCTAACCGATGCAACTGTTCTGAAGCTTAAGAAAGCGATCTCTCTCCTTAATCGGACTGGTCACGCTAGGTTCCGGCGAGGTCCGGTTTCTTTCTCCTTCTCATCGCCGATATCTGGTTCATTTCCTCATCTCTCTGTTCCTCAAGATCAGACGATGAGTCTCGCTCCTTCTCTGTTTACTTCGCCGGCAACGATTTCTGCTCCGCCGCAGGCGAATATCGTCTCTGCAGCGGCGAACTTGCCTCAGTCGCAGCCTCAGAGTTTGACTCTTGATTTCACCAGGCCGAATATTTTGAACCCTAACCCTAAGGGAACTGATTTAGAATTTTCTAAGGAAACCTTCAGCGTCTCTTCCAGTTCCCCTTTGAAGTCCTCTGCCATTACTGGAGACGGAAGCGTATCCAACGGAAAAGTAGGAACGGCCTTGTTTCTGGCACCGGCACCGACTGCTTCCGGTGGAAAACTGCCGCTCTCTGCGGAGGCGTGCAAGAAGAAGTGTCACGAACAAGATCATTCCGAAGATTTGTCCGGGATAATCTCTGGATCGAAATCTGGTTCCGGCAAGTGCCATTGCTCAAAGAAAAGGTAACGAACTGATTTCATCTTCTTCACACTTAACCTAACAAAATAATCGACGATTTCTGAGTGATATTAGGAAGAACAATGACCATAAGGTTTCTAACCAAGAACAGAGTTGATGGAGAACGAGTTGACTCGTCTGAGTCATAATAAGGAACGGTTAGCGAATTGGCACAGCACGCGTGACACTGACACGATTAGGTTGTGGTTTAGCATTTTAAAAAATAATAATAATATTGAAAATCGATTTTGTTTTCAACTTGACAATAAAGCAATGTTGTCTCGTTCTTTTAGCCTTAATTGTTGACCGCTGACTTTTATTCACGTAGTGGGCCCCACCGCCGTTCTCATTTTACAACAATCTTAGAAAAAATACTTAAATATTGACTGCCGTCGTTTTCTACAGAAAACATCGTATGAAGAAGACGATTCAAATCCCGGCTATTAGTTCGAAAATCGCCGACATTCCAACGGACGAGTTCTCGTGGAGGAAATACGGTCAGAAGCCGATCAAGGGATCTCCATACCCGCGGTTAGTAGACGCTAAAAACTGCAACTCCACGCCGTGTCGGCGGCGATTTATTGAAATTTACCGATTTGACTGAACGATTTTTCTTTTAATGATTTCAGAGCATATTATAAGTGTAGCACGATGAGGGGATGTCCGGCAAGGAAGCACGTGGAGAGAAATCCGAAGGATCCGGCGATGTTGATTATTACGTATGAAGGGGAGCACCGCCATACGCCGAGCTCGTTGCTGGAAAATAGGGCCGCCGGAGTGTCTTTAGCTTTGGACTCAACTTGAAGCTAGAAAAAAAAAAAGTGGGTTTGTGGAGGGAATAAGTAGAAGAAAAAAAAAAGGAAATGTTAATTTTGACTTTGTTTTTATCTTTTCGTGGTGGTTGTACATTCAAAAAACTCAGAATGTAAAAAATTAAAAAAAAAAAAAAAAAAAAAAAAGGAAGGAAATGTTACTTTTGACTCTGTTATTATCTTTTCGTGGTGGTTGTACATTCAAAAAACTCAGAATGTAAAAAATTAAAAAAAAAAAAAAAAAAAAAAAAGGAAGGAAATGTTACTTTTGACTCTGTTATTATCTTTTCGTGGTGGTTGTACATTCAAAAAACTCAGAATGTAAAAAATTAAAAAAAAAAAAAAAAAAAAAGTTTATTTTTGACACAGAAGAAATTAGTAAAATGGCAAATTTGAGGGAATGAGTTTAATTTTATTTTTTCGTTTTATATATATTATTAGTTAAAATATTCTTAGTTTTTATTAAAAAAAATGTTAATACTAGAAAATAAATATAATAACATTCATAAAAAGAATTTTTATAATTTTAAAAAAATAATATTACACATTTTAAAAATGTTTATATATTATTTAGCGAGTAAAGAAGGACATATATCTCAGCAAAACATCAAGGAATATAATCTCCGTTTTTGGTTTCCTTTATTTTTTATTCAAATGGAGATTGTGTGTCGGGTTTGAGAGGATTGACGCATAGCCTCCATGTTAATTGATAATTTAATATGGTAGGAAATATAAATTGTTGGGGGTGAAAATGGAAATATGAAAACATTGGGGGTTGATTTTTGAGGTATGAAAAGTAAAAAAAAAAAAGGGGGTCTTTTGTGTTCTAGGATAATTAATTGTGAAGTAAGAATTAAATTATATATCTTTTTGATTGAATACTTTATTTCACTTATTCCGAAATTGACTTGTTCTCCCAATTAAATATACAATTTTAGGCATATATTCAATATTTTTAAGATTATATATATAATAAAAGAACCCTCCGACTTGTCTTTTCCACGTGGCGAGTTGAATTAACTATTTTCCAACCGAGTTTTGGAATAAAAAAATATAATTATTTAAAATATAAAAAAAAGGTACAGAAAGGGTAAATTGGGCTTTTGACTTAGTTGGACCGTGGGCCATTTTTCTCGCCCAAGTGTTTGAATAAAACGAGACCATAATTCCAAAACTAGCCGCAATTTTACTCTCTTGGGTTTCAATTTTTGCACAATTTAACCTTTTTTACCCTTAGTGGGGGCAGAAACCAAAAGGAAATAATTATTATAAATAAATATGATTTAATTTAGTTAAAATATGGTAAAAATTACATTATAGATTGTTAGACGAACACGACACTCCACAAATATATTGTCCATTTTGAGCATAAACTCTCATGACTTTGCTTTGGGCTTCCCCAAAACGCTTCATACCAATAGAGAGAGTATTCGTTAATTATAATTGATTATAAACCCATGATCATTCTCTAAATTAGCTAACGTACATTAGTCACTGATTTGATGCAAATGATAATCAAAATTATATATTTAAAAATGGGGGCTTACATTTTTAGAGGGGAATTTAATTAAATGAAAGTATTTATAACAATATTTTTTGGGGCTTAGAGTTGGACAATTGATATTCTAGTTTAAATCAAACGGCAATTTTTATTTATTTATTTCCCATTAATAATTTTATTATTGATTTTGTTATTAAATAATGTTCTAGTTGAGGGTAACGAGAAAATTCGATGATTTATTTTTGTTTTTATTGGATTTTGATTTATTCACGCTACATCATTTGACTTTTATGCCCCTCTTATGAATGTCTATTTTTTTTTTCTAATTTTTTTTAGTGGGCTGATAGATTAAAGGTGGGACCCACGTTAGTCAGAGAGGGAACAAAGTTTTTTTATAAGAGTATGAAAATTTATCTCTAGTAGACACGTTTTAAAATCGTGAGACTGATGGCGATATGCAATGGAGCAAAGCGGACAATATTTTCTAATGGTGAGTTTGAGCTATTACAAGTGTTATCAGAGCTAGACATCGAGCGATGTACTTACGAGGACACTGGACCTCAAACGGGTAGACTGTGAGATCCCATATTCATTGGAGAGGGGAACAATTCATGTCTTATAAGAGTGTGGAAACTTTGATATCAAATAAACGTTACAAACCTTTATATTAAATAATTACCTTTTCAAAAGCATTCAGTTGAAAAACGGTAAAATAAAATTTCAGGCATATTTGACGGTACTTTAGAGAAAACGACACTAAAATTAGTTTCTTTTATTAAAACTTTATCGACGTGTGGGAGTTTTTGAAACAAACTTTTTTGAACGGGTTACTTTCAATGTTTGTTAAGAGTAGTAGGTAAACTTGCACAAAAAAGGAAGCATTACTAAGGTGTGAAAATATCTCCCTGTTAGACGCATTTTAAAATCATGAGATTGACGACGATATCTAATATGCCAAAGCATACAATATCTGCTAACGGTGGGATTGAGATGAGCTATTACAAATGGTATCAAAACCAGACACCAGCCCGTGTGGCAACAAGAACGTTGGGCCCACAAAAAGATAGATTATGAGATCCCGGTTGGAGAGTAGAGTTCTTATAAGGGTGTGAAAGCCTCTCCTAAGAGGAGATACATAACGAGTCAAAACCGACAATATTTACGACCGAAAAAACGATAAAAAAATTACAAAAATGAACTAATTATTCTCTAGAGATTCTCAAAAGACATGTTGAAACCCAAACAAATTGAAAAGGAAACAAAGAAAGTAAAAGCAAATAATAGCAAAGTTTAAAGGAAAAAATTAATACATTGGTATATACCAACAAATATGCCTTGACCATTTAGGCAGTATCTCGAGAAAGGATAAGGAAATTTACATGGTGAATTTGGACTTCCTCGATTATTTATTTATTTAAAATAAATAAATAAAACCACTTGATTATTAAATATTATCATACTATTTAATTACTCAATCATTATACTAACTTTAATCTGAGTTAATTAAATATTATCATACTATTTAATAACGATTTAATTTACCAAATTTACAGCGGTAAAAGAAAATTACAGTTACGTACAAATATCATAATTTCAAAAAAGAAGGATAAAAGAGGAAAAGACAATCGGTAAGAATTGTTATTAATAGATTTTATTTTAAAATAGTTGAATTTCCACGTCATGGCGTAGATACCTAATAATCCGCAAGTGGACTCCACTATCCCGTCTCCCAAACACCACCCTTAATTTTTTTTTTTTAAATTTTAATTTATTTATTTTAAGGTTGCATTAATTTGTTATGTTTGAGGGTGCAAAATGTCTGCTCGTCCCTATCCATATTTTGTACCTATGTTTTATTTTATTTAAATTAAATTACAAAATAAATAATATTAGTAGAATTGTTGAGTCCCAAACAAAAAAAAAAAAATTTGTGAACTTTAAAAAATGTATTGGTTTAATTTTTTTTTTAATTATTGAAAAAAAACTAATAAAATTATTTCGTTAATTTCCGATTTTCTGGAAAAAAAAAAAAAAAAAAAAAAAAACAAATTCCAAACGAAATCCTCCCTTAAAACTCTTAAAATATCCCTTTCTCTGTAAAGTTCACAGAGTCCCCCTTATCCCCTACTAATCTCTCTCTCTCTACCAGAGAAGTCAGTACCAATCGCAGGCAACCGCCGCCGGTTGATGACAACGAGACCTAGTCCTTGGGCGTAGCCGGCGAGGAGAAGCAGAGCGGAGGAAGGTCGGAAGTCCGCCTCGCCTCACTAGTGAGACGGAGTCGATCCCCCGCCGTTAACTGATGGAAGTTATGTTCGGTCCTCCGACGTTCAACATCGAGGTTGCGGCGGCCACGGCGTTTGACGGCGTCTCTCTTACGCCGGAGAATCCAGCCGCCGTAGTCGAGACTCAGAACCGAGGTCGGACGAGTTTTCGCGGCTCCGGATCTGGTAGCTCGATTGGGGAAAATTCGTCGGGGAGTTCGTCGTCGATTGGAGTTCCTGACGGCGATTCTGATGACGACGGAGGCAGCGGTGAGGTTCAGAGCAAGTCGAAGGAAGGAGGATTATGCAGATTAGATTCTCTTGAAGACGCTCTTCCGATCAAGTGAGTTTCTCTATCTCTTAAATTTTCCCTCTCTTATAAACCAGAAACCAAAAATCGAAGTCGAGTCAGTGATCGAACTTTTAAACTTCCGATTAATCGAGTAATTTCGACGCTAATTAGAGATTTACAACTCTTTAATTTGATAAAATTTCCCCCGGAGGGGAAAATGAAATTGCAGAAGAGGATTATCGAGCCATTTCTCGGGGAAATCGAAGTCGTTTGCGAATCTATCAGAGGTGATTCAAGTGAAAGATTTAGAGAAGCCGGAGAATCCTTTCAACAAGAGGAAGAGGATTTTAATGGCGTCGAAATGGTCGAGAAAAGCTTCGTTCTACAACTGGCCAAACCCTAAATCGATGCCTCTGTTAGCCCTGGACGAAGACGAAGAAGAAAAGTATCACAAAGAAGCAGCTGCAGGTTCCGATTCAGAGGACAGAGATCGAGGAAGCGATGAAGAAGATGAAGAAGATGAAGAGAATGAACGAAGAGGACGAACCCTAGGGCACAGGTTCCATGATCGGAAGCTCGTTAATGGCTTCAAATCCAAGAGCTGCTTTGATCTGCAGAATATGAACAGCGATAACTCGCTATGAAATGAAACCCTTAAGCCTTTGTTCTCGACTTTAAAAAATAATTCCTATGAACAAAATGAAACGAAAAAAAAAAAAAAAACTTTTTATTTTTATTTTTTTTTAATTTTAATGTTTCAGAACTCCATGTAGATAAATTAATAAGTTAGGTTTTATCTAATTATCAGTAGTAATATATAATTATTTAAATGTATGTAATTATCTTCTTCATGTTTCATTTCTTTTTTTTTTTTTCATTTTGATATTATTTTTGGGTGATATAAAATAATGGTAATTAAATTTTCCCGACAAATTATTAAAATTTAAACTTTTAATTTCGTATTAAATAATATTATTAAATTTATTATTTTAAACTCTATTAATTTGGAGTAATCGTGTTTTTTTATCGATAAAAGTTTAATAATTTTACCAATTTTATTAAACTACTTCTATCTATATAGCTACCTATATATATATTTGGGCTATTCTACTAATTCAATTGGCCATGTTATATGTATGCTTCACGAGCCAATTCTATTGTTTACCAACCGCCGGGTATAATTGTAATGGTACCAAAATTTCGACTAGACTAACAATTTCAACGTGGACGACTAAATTAAAAACAATCGAAGCATTAAAAGCTTAAACATACTTTTGGCCTAATATTTTATATAGGTCGATAGATAAGTAAATAGTTAGATTTGAAACCATCGGAGGTGAATAATCAAGATAATAAAAATGTGCTAAAATATAAAATTAATGCTATATATATACACGTATTAGTATCAAAATAAATATATTATTTATATATATATATATTTTGTTAATTGGAGTCTGCTTTTTTTTTTTTAATTTCTAATTGTGTAGACCTACCACTAGTAGTTGTTGCCTAATTTGACTCGTTACATATTATCGTTAACCTCAGTTTTAAAATGCTTCTACTATAGAGAGGGTATAGCTCTACTTCGACAATGTCTCGCACTGCCCAGTGACAGTTTATGGTACCATGCCATTTGTAACAACCCAAGTTAACCACTAATCGATATTGCCCACTTGGCTCGTTACGTATCACTGTTAGTCTCACAATTTTAAAACGCGTCTATTAGAGAGGGATTTTCACATTTTTATAATGAATGTTTCGTAATTCTAAAAAACACATTTTTAAACCGTTAGACTAATGACAATACGTAACATGTTAAAACAGGCAATATTTATTACGGTGGGATTAAAACATATATTTAGTAAAAAAAAAAAAAAAAAACGAACAATTTGTTTAGAATATATGCTTTCCAACTGGGCTGGGCCTCGTATTACCCACAGAGTTGCTGTAAACCAGGCCCAGGGCTTATCCTGCAAGATTCGGCCCAAGGGCCCAACCCAACAATACCGTACATTTACCGCCAAATTTTACATACTGTCGTTATCCACTTCGTTCTGTCTCTCTCTCTCGCTCCATGGCTGATGGTTAGCTTCTCCTGTATCTTATCGGCACTTACAACCACCATTGGAGAAGATGCTATGGATTGTGTCATTCTCCTCTCGTCATTTGGCATGGAATCCATCCGACTCAATGAACGTATTTTCTTGTTCACTTCCTTCTCGCACGGCCGACGCCCGGCGTCGGATAGACTCTCCCCGGAGTCCCAATCTCAAGCGGCTGACCTCTCGTGTCGTCAGACTCACCCGTCGGAAGCAGCTTCACCAGGTTTTACTCGTTTCTGCTCTTTATTCACTTCAATCTACACTCATCTCGACTGTTTGTTCGTAAGAATGTCAGAATAAATAAAAAAGGATTCCGAGTTTTGGTCATGTTATTGCTTGCTGTTGTATTCGAAGTTTCATTCTCATGCCGCTCCTTGATTAAGGCGAATTTTATAATTTTCACTGTCATCTTCATTTTAAGTATCGGTAGTTCATGCTTTCTTATTGATTAAAATTATATAGTCTCACGTAACGGATTTGTGTGGAATAATATTTTCGACGTTAGAAATTAGTAGTTGCATGATAAGTGATGGTTTCCTTCGAAGTGTACAGTCTCGGCATTTCGTGTTGGAGTTCAAATTGTCATTTGCTTTCTTAGATATTTGAGGAAATCGAAATTGCCAAGAGACGTTATGGAAAGCTGAATACAATTGTTATGAATGCGGTCCTGGAAGCTTGTGTTCACTGCGGTGATATTGATTTAGCTCTGAGGACTTTTAATGAAATGTCAAAGCCAGACAATTGTGGTTTAGACAACGTCAGTTATGGCACGCTATTAAAGGTACTTTATTATAGTTAAACTATGATGAGTTTTAGAATTTTAATTGAGCTGTTCGAGGAATCCGTAGTGAGAATTATGTGGGAGAGTCGTGATTAGGTCTTGTTCCAGTTACGTCTTGGCCTTTTATTTGCCAGGGTTTGGGTGAAGCTCGCAAGATTGATGAAGCATTTCAATTACTTGAATCTGTGGAAGAAGGTACTGCGATTGGAAGTCCAACATTGTCCGCACCACTTATTTATGGTGTTCTAAATGCTTTAACCGAAGCAGGTCAGTTTCTACGAGAGGTCACTTGTTAAGCATTTTTCTGTGCCGTTACTGTGCTTATCTAGGCTTCAAGGATCAGAATAATGTCTTCAGTGTTTGGGGAGTTAGTTTATGGTCAATTGATTTGTATTTACTTGAGATTAGTTAAGCTTTGAGGTGTATCTTTCTTTTACTGTATTTCATCTACTGCTGTTACTTATTCATTATCATTATAAATATGACCGTCCTCCACCTTAATTGATGGTGGTGAGCATTACACCTTCCTTTGTGTACTAGTTTTGATTTATTCATTCAGGCTTAAATATTTGATACAAGTATATTAGTAGAATAAGTTTTATGTCAGCCATATTTTTTTGGAAATATGGAACACTTATAATCAGCATGCAATGAACGTTGCAGGTTGGGTTGGATGTCAGATTTGATAATGATATCTATGCCATTTATTCATATTTAATTATATTGCAGTGCAGTACAAAAAACTTCTAAATTCTTATAATTTTAATTTATGAGTTTGAACTGATCCCATATACATGGGCATGGATCAGACTTGCATTCTAATATTCCTACTGTTTTTATTTGTAATTAAAACATATTGATTATCTCCAGAGGTCATTGTGTAGACTTGTGCAGATTTTTGTTAGGGTATATTTCTCTTTAACTTTTAATGATTGTATGATGCTTAATGATACCTTAGAGAATCTCAACTAGTTTTATCATAGTTTCTTTGATGATTGTTGAAGTTAAATGTTATGGAAGCAATGTTAGAATCAGATTTAGGGAATGGTTCAGCTCAAATATTTATTATTATTATTGTTATTTTGTTCGATGCATTTATTCTATCATGTTGATTTTTGTAGTGCAGGAGACATGCGCCGTGCCAATGGTCTAATAGCACGATATGGATTCTTACTTCATGAAGGAGGCAATCTCTCTATATCAGTTTACAACTTATTGATGAAGGTGTGCACACAGTTGTAGTTCTGCAAGATTATTACTAATGAGAAATAAAAATATTTGTTGCAATGTATCAAATTATCAAAGTCTGACCTGGTGCTGCAATTTGAGATCCAGGATCCGGATTACACTGCTTAGTAATTTTCTTCTCTTGGATTTTCAGGGGTACATAAGCTCTGGTGTTCCTCAAGCTGCTTTAGCTCTGTACAATGAGATGCTAAATCTGGAGTTGAAACCTGATAAGCTTACATATAATACATTAATCTCTGCTTGTGTGAAGATCAACAAACTGGACGCAGCAATGTATTTCTTTGAGGAAATGAAGGTCACGAACATGTATTGAAAGGCCACTTTAGAGCCTCCAAATGTTTTTATTAGTTGGTTGAGGAATCAACCAGTGCTTATATTTTGTTACTCACAATTTCATTCTTTACAGGAACGAGCTGGTAAGTATAATCAGGAAGATATTTTTCCTGATGTTGTGACGTACACTACTTTACTTAAGGTCAGTGAACTTTTCACCTGTTCTGCTTATCATGTAAATAGATTTATATTTTTCAAGTTGAATATGCTTAGGATTTAGGGGTTTTGAATTATTTGAATAAAACTTTAGGAGTGGACTCCTCTGAGTTAATTTTTTTGTGCCATATTTTTGCATCTCTGGGAAATGGTGTTGATTCTGGTAATATATAGTTTATGGGTGTATATATTGAAGTTTCCAGTCAAAGTGTAGGCTTGATGGATTTGGAAGCTTTTCTATGAACGATATTATTGATATGCAATCACTTTGACGAAGAGAAGCTCAGTCTTCGTAGAGGAAAATATAATCTCGAACAAGTTACTGCCAATTTGATACTGGTTCTATCCTTCGAGAGTGATGCATAGACCTTCATTGTTTTACCATATGACACTTTATCTGGAAATCTTCTTTAGTTACAATGGAAGCATGCAGTTCTTGTCCACGGAAAACATGCATCCAAATCAATTACTTTCTCATAACCATAGGAGAATATTTACTCCCCCTCCCCCCATTCTGGTCTGACCCACAATAATTCTTGCATGTTCTAAAATTTCCTCGTGGGGTTCTAGGTTCTAGCTCCTGTCAATAACTAGAGCTACAAGCTTGTGCATCTTGATTCACTTTTCTGGCATAAACTTTCCACTCATTAATTAGTTTCTTTTTTTTTTAGGGTTTTGGGATTCTGAAAGATGTCCGTCTTGTTCACAAAATTGTGCTGGAAATGAAGACTTGTCATGATTTGTTGATTGATCGAACAGCATACACTGCAATGATTGATGCTTTGGTTAACTGTGGCTCTATAAACGGTATGATTTATACCCAACTAGTAATTGATGGAAATTTTGGGATTGAATTGTACTGAGTAGACAATTTGTCCATGGTAGCAGGTGCTCTTTCTTTATTTGGGGAATTATTGAAGCTTTCTGGATGGTATTTGGACTTGCGGCCAAAACCACATCTCTATCTCACTTTTATGAGATTTTTCTCTAGTAGAGGAGATTATACGATGGTCAAATGTTTGCATAGACGCATGTGGTTGGACTCCTCTGGAAGTATTTCTCCTGGATTTCAAGAAGAGGCAGATCATCTTCTCATGGAGGCAGCTTTACATGACAATCAGGTACTATCCGTTTACTTCTGAGTTTTAAATGTTTTTGATGAACGTATGGCTTGTTGTTCCTTTTATTCTTTTAGAGATGGACTGTTGGTTGTTGTATAAGTTAATGAGTTAATACAATATTAGTTTGTCTAATTTACAATAGTTTATGCCACAATGAGAGTCTGAATGGTCAAAAAACAAGTACTTTACCTTATGTACTTGGTAAGATTTTAAGTGGCAAGTTATCAAAAGCCACCTGGAAGCAAAAATCTTCCTTTCATGAATTGTTGTTTTGGTTGTTGGTGAATGCACAGTACATATATGGTCCTAATAAGAGTTTCCTTCTTGCCATTTCTCCAAATTGGTGTTTTATGTTCAGCTGTAAGGAAAAGTGGGAAAGTCTAGGCTGTCCGTCCGTTAGTATTTTATGGAAGATCATAGACATTTTTGGTCCTTGTGCTTTCCATGGAATATAAGGAAGATTATTTGGAATCCTCTGGTGAGAACACGTTGGAGCTAACTAGTTCTTTGAGCTCTTTGTGGGCTTCTATTACAAACTTATTATTATTATTATTGTTATTATTTAACACAATGGTTCCTTGCTTTAGTCAATCCAATTTGTTACTTTTTTTGTTGGCTCCATTGGATTTGCCATGAGTGGGAGGATATTTTATCTTTGCCACCTCTGAAATGTTTCTTGATCCAATGAAAGTTTCTGTCTCATTTATTAAGCAGAATCATGAATGATTAGAGTTGTTAAAGTGCTAAGAAGGTGAACTGCAATTTTACAATCTTGATAAGATCCTGTTATTTTTAGAATGTGCAATTGGTTAATCTTCTTTCTTTTCTATAAAAAATTTATGGACTTTGTGATCTATGCTTGTCCTTTTCAGATTGATGTGGCAACAGAGAAATTATCAACAATTATTAAGAGATGGAAGGGAATATCGTGGTCTAGCAGAGGAGGCAGTGTAAGTAGATATACCCTACTATCCTTAATTGTTGGGATAAAAAGTTTGCAATTTTGCAGCATGTACTTCCATTGTGAATGAATTTGAGGATATTTTCTCAATTCACCGTTTTTTGCACTCTCCGGAAAAAAATTATTTTATTTTATTTAGATCTGTGTGAACAATTATTACAAACTTCATTCTGGTCCTATTTTTTTTCATGTTTTGTTGGTGATAATCCCAAGGCCTTCTAAAGGCGTGACTCAGGATAATTTATTTGGTCTCTCATAAACAAAAGAAGCCTAAGTTTCTTTTTAGTTCATCAGTTCAAAATTCATTTATACACTTCTTCGGCTCTTCTATGCATATTAGCTTCTTGATGGACTTGACTTGAAGCTGATTATATGCTGTCTTAGAATTCAGACAATTTATAATACTATCTTATACTTTTAGAACTTCCAAAACGTCTATGGCCATGAGAAAATTTGCTTTTGAGCGGTCCAATGCTTGAAATGCTCAACCCTTTTTCCCTTCTCTGCATTTAAGCTTTGAAGCGCTAGTGTCTTTTATGAAACCCATTTTTTATTCTATTAAGCTAATATCTAATATTTATGTTTATTCTGATCCAGGTTGCTCTGCGTATTGAAGCATTGCTTGGACTCACCAAATCTTTCTTTAGTCCTTGCATATTTCCTCGGGTTTGAATTCTCTGTTTTTACAGTGGTCTAGTTTATTTCATATCTTAAAGATGTCAAAGAAATGGATGTCTGTGATATAAATGCTAGTAATATTGTTAGGGTATAAGGTTATTAGTAATTAGTTGGGGAAGTTGTTATGGTGATTTGTTATAAATAGAGTGGGTAGGAAAGGTTGAAGGCATGCATTGGTTATATGGTTTAGGCTTATGTGAACACGAGAGAGAGAGGATCAAACTACCTCGAATTACTTGGGTTATCTTTTGGATCTTTATCTTTCATATTTCAATTCCATTTCAACTGTTTGGGTTCTATTAGTGTGCTTATGCTTGTAAAGATGTTTGCATGCTTAACTGTGGACATTGTAAATGCTTAGCAGAAGCGTTTGGTCATTCACTTCTGTAACTGTTAATGGATGTATTTAAACTTATAGTGGCCGGATGAGTTTTATTATGAAATTTCAAAATTGTAGAAAAGAGTAAACATGTTTTAGGACTCGAGTCCTAGATGTCTGCTATTACCATACATTTTAGTTAATTATTTGATCATATGGTAGTCTTCTCTTTAGTTTAATTGTACACATTCGTTCCAGGTAAATCCAGGTGCTCCTATTGAGAGTGTCATGATGCCATTTAAAGCCGTTCAGCCATTAAATGGAAACTTACAGTTGAAGGAAGTGGTCATGCGTTTCTTTGACAAATCAGTTGTGCCTATCATAGACGATTGGGGTAGATGCATTGGACTATTGCACCGAGAAGACTGCTCTGAGGTGAGTTAGAATTTTTTTGTCCATGTCGTTGGAGACAAATTACACCATAGTGATAGAACTTTCTCTATAACTACACATGTTATTTCTTGTGTAAACTTAATCTTTTTAAACCACATCATATGTAATACCGTAATACCCAAATCCACTGCTAGTAGATATTGTCTTTTTGAGATTTCTCTTTCAAGCTTTCCCTCAAGGTTTTAAAAACGCATATGCTAGGGAGAGGTTTCCACATCCTTATAAAGGATGCTTTGTTCTCCCCAACCAATGTGAGATCTCACTATCCACCCCCCTTCGAGGCCTAGCGTCTTCGCTTGCATTCATTCCCTTCTCCAATCGATGTGGGACCCCCCAATTCACTCCCCTTCGGGGCCCATCATCCTCGTTGGCACACTGCCTTGTGTCCACCCCCTTTAGGGCTTAGCATCCTCATTGACACATCACTCGGTGTTTGGCTCTGATACCATTTGTAATGATCCATCGCTAGCACATATTGTCCTCTTTGGGCTTTCCCTCAAGGTTTTTAAAACGCATCTGTTAGGGAGAAGTTTTCACGCCCTTATAAAGAATGTTTCAACCGACAACCGACGTGGGATCTCACATTATAAATCAAAATGACAGGAATACTATACTCATTGTTTGATATGAAATCTCACAAAACCTGTGTGTAATCACTACGGATGCTTGATTGAATAAGACGGGCTTCTCAAGGAATATTTATGAATCATAGATCCTGTTTTACTACCTTGTATCTATTGTGACCAAGTGCAGGACGATCATTTAGCTGAATGATTGTGGATGTATGTAAAAGTAGAAACTTAAATATTTGTTTATGGTGCAGTTGGAGGCTCCCCTTTGGAAAATGATGAGAAGCCCTCCTCCCGGTGTTACGACTACAACATCGATCGGACATGTTGTGAATCTAATTCTACGAAAGAGGTACAAAATGATTATTATTGTAAGATATAGCAAGTTTAGCACATATGATAGCTCGAGTTCGAGGGCTGTTGGTGTTTTTACTATCGAGCAATTGTATGGCTTTATTTCTCCCTTTCCCATACAGCTTCAGCCAAACATTCCACATAAGACGTAGATGACAATAACACTCCACTTCTTAACTTAGCTTTACAGCAAATGTCTTTATGCGTGTCTCTCCTTAGTTTTGGGTGGTGTGAGATAGTTTGAATGAACTTTTGAGCATTGTGTCTATTTTTTTTCTTACCTTTAAAATGCTTAGACTTTGATAATAACTATAACCGCCCGTAACAAGCCAAAGTGGACAATATCTACTAGCACTAGCAGTGGACTTGGGCTATTACAAATGGTATCTGAGTCAGACACTAGGTGGTGTGCCAGTGAGAACACTAGGCTTTCAAGGGAGTGGATTGTGAGATCCTACATCGATTGGGGAGGGGAACGAAGCTTTCCTTATAAGAATGTGGAAATCTCTCCCTAGTAGACCTGTTCTAAAACCATGAGGCTGACGGCGATACGTAATAGGCCAAAGCGGACAATATTTACTAGCGGTAGGCTTGAGTTATTACAGTAACCCCATGTCATAGGGATGGACTACGATCGACTTGGTTGCGTATAAATTTGATCATTCTTTTCAATCATGCCCAATCTCCATTTCCTCATCCTCGGTCTCATTTTCCTTTAGTGATTAGATCAATCAAAATCTCCCTTCTGCCTAATTCCATCTCTCTAATCATCGTTTCGAGATATTCAACCTTCATCTCCCTCACCTTCCATTTTCAAAAGTTACACATATGGAACTTTTCACCCTGATTGGCATCAGATTTCGATAAACTCCATCTCGGTTTCTATTAATGGGATCTTGCAACTTACCTCATGTCTACCCATTCCTTCTCATAAGTTCTTTGGTTTCAAGAATTAAACCCTCTATAGGCTTCAGTTCTTGAAATGGTGACCTTTTCTCCACCTTCTTTTAATCTTGCATTTGCTTTGGCAGGTTTAGGTCCACTTGCAGGCCACATTATTTACAACCAATAAATAATGTTGGTTGCCCCACCAACTGAAACCTTCAAACTTAATGAGCCATACAACCCAATCGAAAGGGGAAAAAAAAAAAAAAAATCCAATTTCCTGCAAATTCAAAGAAATAGCTTCATCAAGACAGTATTATAAATAGGGGCAAAAACCATAAACCCCCAAAAGTCAACAAAAAAATTGTTTAAATTCATAAGTTATTGATGAGATAAAGTACCAAATTTGGAAGTAAGTTAAAGCTCAATGGAAAGAGCTAAGCTTGGCGTTGAAGGGCATATAATATTGGACATCACTTTCCTCAAAGATAGTGGCAAAAAAATTATTGTGTTTTGAGAAATTTATTGTGAACACCTTTCCTCTCCTAACCCTTTCCCTCTCCATTAGGTAATATAAATCATGCTCAAGTGGACCATCACCCCCTCCCAAAAATAATGAATATTATAAATGCTTTAAAATGGCAACGAAGTATGGTACAGGTAAGGTTGACATGTTCTTTGGTTTCATTTCCTTTATTTAATTAGTGATATATACATTTTGTTAGAGAACTTTTACTAATATGAGCATAGTCGAGTGATAATTGATCTGTTTTTTTTTTCCTGAGGCTGGAGGTTTAAATTGTTATCGTACCTCTGTTGAATTAAACAATTTTTTTTAAAAAAAATTATAGTTTATATTAATACATAAAAGAGGAAATAAAATGAAAATTCCCTTACTTATAGCCATTTAAAAAGTTATTAATTTAATCCAAAAATTTAAAGGGCCAGATGTGTTTTTTAAACCATTAAAAAAATATAAACATGTGGGATTCCTCTGTGAGCCATATTTTTTAATTTTAGCAATATCCAAATTCCTAATAAAATATGGCCCACACGGAGCGGGATACTGGACCCTCTAGACCACTAGCTAAACGGGCCGCTGGGGGCCCATTATAGAGGCACCGAAATGACGCTTATGCCCCCAGTGGTGACAAAAACATCTTTCCGTTTCGTACACCTTTAAATTTCTACAATAATTCAACTGACACTGATACTGACACCGTACTGGAATCGCGTAATCAATGATGGTTGAAACTTGAACAACGTTCCTCAGCCGTCGATCATCAACTGTACAGAACGCTCCGATCCGACGGCCGATATCGCAGAAGCCGCCATTTTCTTTGTTCTTGCTGCTGCAGAACGGCACCATTCCCGGGTCTTCCGCTGAGCTTCCAAGTATCCCTCACTATATTTACACGCTCGAAGTCTCTACCTCTTTTCCATTTCGGATATTCTGTTCTTCTACCGCAATTCTTGCTCCGAAGTGAAACTGAAGAAAAGCGTCTTCGAAAAGCTTATGATTCGTTCTTTTGTCCTTAATTTTTTCCGGAAGAAGGTGAAGTTCTTCTGTTCTTCTTTGCTTCTTTCGGTTTATTCTAATGTTCAATCTGGTTTGGTTTCTGAAGTTTTTCGAATTTTGTGAAGTTCTTTTGGTGTCTTCCTGATGGATTCTGTTCTGCACTCTTCATTTTCCTTTAGAAGCCAACTACGAAAGATCCGAATGCTTTTTAGACGTCTAAATGAATTTTGGCTACTTCCTTTTGTTTGGTTTGATCATATTAACTTTTTCCCGCCCTTCCATTTCTGTTGATTGAGATACATTGTAACTGGATTGCTGTTCATGTCTTTCGCTTGGAACAGGAACATTTCGTAGAAAACAATCGAGCAAAACAATACACTGAGATCCACCTTTTATGAGGATCGATTATTGCGCATGTCCTTTGGATTCTTTTGCTCTATTCTTTTAATGGTCCTTTTTTCAGAAATGTTCCTTGAAGATCAGATATTCGGTTCCTTTTGTGCATTATTGATTTTGTATCTGAGATATTCAATTGTGCGTTCTTTTTCAGAAATGTTTCTTCCTTTTTTTCTTTCTTTTTGTAGTATTTTGATTGTTTATCTTCTTTGGAGTATTATCCAATATCCATTTTATACTGTTAGATACAATGTTTTGGTGTTAATCAGCTAATTATTCTTTCTTACTCAATAATTCCGAAAACCTGCAGTTCCAGATTGTGACACAAGTACTGTAGGATCTTTTAAAATGTTGATTTTCTCAGGTTCAATTAATCATGATGATATATGTATTTAGCTTGTTTTTGGACCTTACTACTTTATCTGGACCATCTTGTTTATGTTTGTTTAACATCAAAAGAGTTCATGTCAAACTAGGACGAGTCGATATCATGAACAGAAAACAGAAAAGGAAATAAGGAAGACAAAGAAGATCTGTCTTCTAATCTGGTTAACAAGTGATACTTACCTTGTGTAATCACTGCTTTGTTCCCCTTGAGTCAGAGCGTATGAACACGATTCGTCGGGAGGGTTCTAATATATAAATGTAATCATGGGTGCAGATTTGATCAAGTGCCAAAGTAAAAGCGCTTCTTGCAAATTTCCAAGTTGAGATCAACAGTTGTTTGGTTCAGTGCTGAAGATATTTCAGGTAATCTTTATATCTTCTCCACAAGTTTTTTTTGGATGTGAATTTGTGGTTTTTAGAGGTTGCTTTTCTTTTATCTCTACATTTGGTATCTTCACTGTATTCTGTTTTTGTTAGTACGGACACAGATGACTGGCCATTGGTCTAATGGAAGTTTTTCCACTTATAGAAACTCCTCATATGTTCCTTAATTGTTGCAGATTGGTTTATAGGCTGCGAAGAGTTTCTGATGGATGAGTATTGCAGTAAAAGAGTTCATGTGGGAATTGTTTCTAGGAAGGGACCTGGTGTAGTTTTGAGGGATAACATGAAGCAGAGGGATCAAAGTAATCGACACAGCGACCGTCTTGGCTGCACTGGCAGGATATGCTCCAGTAGTGATGCACAAGTTGGCCGTTCGAATAAAGCCAGCTCAAAACGACTATTCCGCAGCTCGAGTGGTAAAGAAGTTGTTGGAAGTTCCTCTGCAATCAGAAATTTCAGGAATTCTTTTCCGGAGCCTTTTGGAAAGCTATCATCTAAGCTTGAAACTGATTCGTCTGATAATGATAGCATTCAAGATGAGTTGGAAGAAATGGAATTCACCTCACCTCCTGGATTGCTCCATACAGGGCTTCATGTAAAATCCGAACGTTCGGTGCCTGCTGATGCCATGTTGATGGAAAGGGGAAGCTGCAGTATGAACTCTAACAATAAATCTAAGAGAAACACCATTCAAAGATATAAAGTGGACAATCAAGAAACTCATGCATCAATGTGGCCTAGAAGTCTTTGCCAGATATCAAACGGTGGTTCCAGTAGGTTCGATTCGAGAAACCTCGCATGTGATTCAGTATCTGAAATAGTTTCATCAGATAGTTCTTTGCTGGATCAAAACCTTGTGAGAAGGAAGAATGTAACAAAGAAAATGATATATGATGGTGAGAACAGTTCCAATTCTAGAGAAAAGATAGTGAGTGGAACTTCCCGAGGACAGAAGTGTAGTTATAGGCATGGCATCTCTATTTCTGATCAAAGACCAGGTCGAAACGTGTTTCACAAGCAAAATGTTCTTTCATCACATGGGACTCGAAGTTGGACGAGTGGATGTGGTGGGGCGAGGCATTCTCAAGGCATTAGTGATAATCTGTCGGTGCACGATTCACTAACGATGACTTCATGGACGCCTCGGACTAGTGTCTCCAGTTCCTCAAATGCTTCTAGTTCACTTCAGTTATCTTCAGAATCACACTCCAGACACCGCATGACTTACCCTGAACCAGAGGGCTATAGTCGAAGTCTACATGCTGCAGAAGCTGGTATTTCAAACACTTCAACAAATGTAAACAGTTTTCGATGTCGCAATGTCAATGGCATTGCCGAGGTATTCGACTTGTTTAGACTCCGCATCACGTTCTTATGTTCTTGGGAAAGAGTTATCACTGAAAATGATAAAAATTGCAGGTATTATTGGCATTGGAGAGAATCGAGCGGGAGGAGCGAACTTACGAGGCGTGTAGTCTATTGCTTCCTTCAGTTCTTTTTTAATCTCACTAAGAAAGAAACGAGTTGTTGACATGTCTTCATTTTCGTCTTGCAGCAGGCCATTCTTCTCGAGACGAGTACGTTCCTTAATCGCCTGAACATCTATGATCAGCACAGAGACATGAGACTTGACATTGATAACATGACATATGAGGTAAGATGAATACTTCTGCAATCTGCACTTCTCATATGCAATGGTTTTGACAGCAACTTTTCTCTTAAACAGCAACTTTTAGATTTAGAAGAGGGAATGGGGACAGTAAGCACAGCACTGTCTGAAAAAGAACTGACTGAATGCCTTCATAGAAGCATCTATCAGTCTAAACCCGAAGGAGGAACGGCCACGGGTTCGGTCGAGGATTTGAGCGACGTCAAATGTTGTATTTGTCAGGTTACCTTTCCGACCCTTCCTTTACTACTATTAACTCGGTCGATTCTAGCACCAGGATGCCGGTTTAGTTTCTAGATTGAATGAAAGTGACTTGAAAACTGATGAAGTGAATAAAATTTCATTCTGGATTGAGAATAGCATAGGCAACATATATATGCATATATTCAACAAGGTCCAAGAAATTCAAGTTATAGCTTTGTTCTCTATTTTCTTTGATCTTTACTTGAACAATCAGTTGAATCACCTGGTTTTCGGTCAAGCTACCGACCCGGGCGAGATTATTAACCATGGAACATACCCACAAGTCGTCTTTTTCAACTTTTTTCAGGATGATTTCTCTCATAGAAACTTGGATAGTTGTTTGCTTTCCCAATTATAATTTAGATGTTTCTGTAAAAAAAAAAAAAAAATCATTTTGCAGGAAGAATATGCGAGTGGAGATGAAGTTGGAAGACTGCAATGTGAGCACAAGTATCATGTAGCATGCATTCAACAGTGGTTGAGGATGAAGAACTGGTGTCCCATTTGCAAATCAACAGCTTTATCACCCTTTCAGATGATTTAAACCCATTTAACTTTATGTTTCTTTGTTCAAATTACATCTGTTTGTTGGAAATCAATGATTTTATTATTCATGTTGTTAATTAATAAAATGAATGATGAATAATTTTAATTATGTTACTTAGAAATTTGATTTAATATGATCTTCAATTTCAATTTTCATCGAGATTACTCTATGGGATTTCCATTTAGATGGAGAATGGAAGAGAGAGTGAAGAGAGGTTTCTCTCTGCTAGATGAATGAGACCGGGGCAGGGATTAATACCTTGCCTTGTCCCCGCTTAATATAAATATAAATATATATTTTTTAAAAAAGACATCCTACTTCATCCCATTTGCTTCCATGGTTCAAAATTCCATAAACCAAACCCCATGGAAGGAAGGTCTGAATAGAGAAGAGTAAAGCATGAGAAGAAGGTCAATACCAAAATACCAACCACAGCGATTGATTTACATGTGATTACCGGAATAGAATACATGGGGGCATGCACATAGCTATACAATTATTAGTATATCTATATCCAACGCGATGTTTCACCGCAGTAATTTTGGAGGTCGATAGTTCGATCTCCTATCTTATATGTGACGGCCCAAACCCACCACTAACAGATATTGTCCTCTTTGGACTTTCCCTTTTGGGCTTCCCTTCAAGGTTTTTAAAACGCGTCTAGAGGTTTCCCCACCCTTATAAAGAATACTTCATTCTCCTCCCCGACCGATATGGGATCTCACAATCTCTTTGATTAGAGAAGAGAACGAGTGCCAGCAAGGACATTAGACTCTAAAGGGAGTTGGATTGCAAGATCCCACATTGGTTGGAAAGGAGAACGAAGTATTCATTATAAGGGTGTGAAAACCTCTCTCTAATAGATACATTTTAAAAAACCTTGAAAAGAAGCCTAAAGGAGACAATACCTACTAGTGGTGGGCTTGGTTGTTACACTATAGTTATTGAACTCGAGAAAACTTTTACCTACCTCATTTGTACTTCATTGATGCATCAAAGTCTAAGTCTAAAAAGTGGATAAGGGTCAATTAAAACACCGGATTTGCTTATAGCAGAAATGTCTACTCCTTCCTTCGGAACTACAAAAAAAACTTCCACTTAGCTCACAAACAAAACGAGACACATTGACATCAGATATTGCCTTACAATGAAGCAGAAAATGAAAGTCTAGACATAGCTGAGAACAAAAGCGAACAATAACTATAAAAGGGAATTAAGAAACAGGATAAAGCACAGCTGGTCAATATCGAAATTTTCAAAGAATTCTGCATACCTTTAAAACAACCATGCCACTGTTAGTGTGGACAGCAAGAACAAAGACTGCAGTTTGATCGTCTCTAAGCTCAGGACAACAAAGTTTTCAACATATTATACAAAATATTGGATCATTCGACACGATAATAGAAATTCGATTTAAGAATATAAGTTAGATGAGAGAACCATCTCGTCGAAACTCGAAAGTATGTTCTTCCTCAATCAGAAGTGTTTCCTAAGCCAACGGAAGATTAAGGCTTTCTTTTTTCTTATTCAACATCACATAAATAATGTAGTTTCAGAAGTGTTGACAGAAATAGAATATTTTTTTTTTCAAAAACAAACCTTACATCCACACAAAAAAAAAAAAAAAAAAAAAAAAAAAAAAAAAAAAAAAAAAAAAAAAAAAAAACTCAAAAGATGGGAGCCAAAATAAAGCTTGTGACTTGATATGTAAGAAGAAAAGATAGTGTGTCATGTTAACATGCTGTAATAGCTCAATCTCACCGCTAGCAGATATTAGGGCTTTCCCTTCTAGGCTTCTCCTAAAGGTTTTAAAACGCGTTTGCTAGGGAGAGGCTTCCACACCCTTATAAGGAATGTTTTGTTCCTCTCTCTAACTAACGAGGGATCTCACAATCCACCTCCCTTGAGAGCCCAACGCCCTCGTTGGCACACTGCTTGGTGTTTGGCTCTGACAGCATTTGTAACATCTCAATCCTGCCGCTAGCAGATATAACCCTCTTTGGGTTTTCCCTTCTAAGCTTCCCCTCAAGGTTTTAAAACGCGTCTACTAGAGAGAGATTTTCACACCCTTATAAGGAATGCTTTGTTCCCCTCTCCATTCTACAAATGTAGAATGTCACACATGCACTTCGCCACTTCACCTTGATTGCTTCATAAATTCCTTCCTTTGTACATTACAGACTCTGAAGTTCATATTGTACACAGCAATAGTTACTTCAAAAGATACTTCATAACAGGCTACAAATACAGCTAAAAATGAAAGAAAATATTTTACTGACAAGCAAGCTATAGATCATAAGAAAAAAATGGGCAAACCTCTCAGAAGAAAACTAAATCAATAGTATGATGATAATACAGCAGACATCACAAGACCAGATTAGTACAATGCTTAATAGTACTTTAGATGCAAATATGCTTTGCAATCAACGCACTAGAGCCCATAGAAGTTTAAATTATTTGAGCAGGAAAGAACTAGAAGGAGAGGATACCTTTCCATGGTATTATGACCTTGAGCCTTGTCTACTCCAAACTTCAATCATTACGTTACCTTTTAGTAAGAATTATCTGCACCCAATTGGGCATAGTATCTGTAGAACATTGATTTGTTCAGTAGCAAGCTGGATATCGATCTCGTTGCAAACATCTTGAAATCAGGCTGTGCTGCTCCTGAGACGAACTTCTCACACACATACGTTCACATTTATCTGGAGGGGGCAGCTGGCACTATTCACATCGTGAAAGTGGGATTAAAGACAAGAGCAACATGATTATATAATGGATAATCATATAGTTGAACAGAGGAACAAACTACAAAGCGCATTGAAATGGATGTTAATTTGTTATTGATATTGAAATTCCAATAAATTCTCAGATTCTAAAGATACATACAGAGCACCTGAAGCTCTCACCCAGGTGATTCATCTTTCACCAAGCTAAATGACAGTATTCCTGCAAAACTTTTTTGATTCTCTCAAAAATAAGTTACATGAAAAGCTAAGTTACATGGTAGTGGCAAATGGGGCCAATATGAATGCTAAAAATGCAACAGAACAACCTTTTACGGGCGTTCTGGCTGAAAGCTCCCCCTTTCTTAGTCGAGTTAATTCAACTTCCTCGATGCAGCAGGCAATGATGTTACAATATTTTAGCATGAAAGCTTGGAGCCTGAACCAAATGGGAGCGATCAAGTACACCCCAGGAAGAAGGGAAGAACGGGAAGACATCCCAGGTGCGTTTAAAAGCCCGAAGGAACAGAGACCAGCCTTGGATGGCAGAAGAATAAATAAAACCTTTGCAACCGCTTATTCCTCAAAGGCACGCATACTAATTTTCTCCAACAGCAAAGGCCAATCTTCCCCAAGCTGCTTTGGATTGAGCTCCATAGCAACTTTGAAATCAAGCAATGATACTGAGCATTCAAAACTCTTTTCCTCCAAAACTTCAGATCGCCCGTTGCTATTCTGTACACGTAGGTGGTTAGTAGGCCACATACCATTTATAACCTTCCCTTGATTTTGTTGCTTCTGGATCGGGTGCCCCGTATGTTCAAATGTAGACCTTGTTCTCACCAGCTCAAGGCAAGACTTTATCAATTGCTTCAGGTACACATCAAGAGTATTATTCAGGATGTTAGGACATTCCAAAGAAACACCTTCAAGCCCTTGTGCAGTTGCAATTTGTTCCATGCGTTTTCTCACTGTCTCTGAATCAGACAATCCAATACTGTCATAACACCTCAGAAAATCGACACAACTGCCACTACTGCTGACTGGCAAGGCCTTGCGTGCCCCACCCACACTCGCTGAACAAAACGGAATACCAAGAGGTGGAAGTAGAGGACCTCTAAGGAAGCTTAAGGGATCTGATTGTTCCACCTCCTCTCCTTCTTCAAGAATGGATGCTTCTGTTGGACGTATTCTTGGTTTTCCTGACGGCCGCTGAACTGATCCATCTATGTCATTCTCAGGTAGCTCAGCTACTGCTTGAAGTTGCTGTACAGGCCTCTGATAGTCACACATGGTTACATTACCATTCTCTGTAATAACTTTCCTATCTTCAGTACCAGTTGATTGATACGAAAGACATGCTGTTTTTCCATTTGGACCAAGTGGACTCGGCCTATCCCTAAACTTCCCACGCAAGACAGATCTACCCTTCCGTGGGGACACTGGCAGAACCCCATTTGTCCAAATTGGTATACCCTGATTCTGATTTGGAAAGGCAGATCCAGTTTGTTCAGGGGCATCTTCTCTGCAAGGAGTATTGTTCGAAGCTTGTAGCACAGATTGTGCATGTCCTGATACATTTATAAGTGGTGGGGTCTTGGCTACACATGCATTCTTCAAAATTGACCTTATCAATTGATTGTGGAGCTGAATATTCTCCCTTCCAAGCACACGAACGCACAGCTTATCAAACTCAACCTTGCTCAGCTTCTGACCCAAGAATTTGCTCAAGTAGAAGAAGTACCGCTTGGACTTGTCATTTCCAAGTTTTTTAACTATCTGAGCTTTCAAGTCGGCTAAATCAATTCTGGAGCTTTGCTGAGATTGCATTTCTCCAGAGGCCGGTTGGGTTCATACACCGTAAACTGTAGCTCCAACCCCAGAATTGTCACTCGAATTGAAGCTGAATTGCGGTACTGTACCAATACAAAATCCCCCAGAATTTATACTTCCTCGTCATTCAGGACAAATCAAGTCTGAAAGGCCGCACCATTTGGTAAAAAACAAAATATACACAAACATATATATAGTACGTGCACCAAGCAAAAAAGAGCGGGTTTACAGCAGCCTGAAATCATAATTCCAGCAATGACTGAGTAACATTTAATTCGGAAGGATTCCGCAATCAACAACAGAGGCAACAAGCAGTAGAATGCAAACCCAGATCTATACTCCCAAAACCAAAACCCTAAAGATCAAAGCAGCTAAAGTCACTAAACCCCACAGCGAAACAAGAGAAAAATCAAGGCAAGAAACTTGTATTTATCATGGCGCAAAATCAAAGCCCTAAGTTGAATTTGAAAAAAGCAAACCAAAACCCGATCGGTCGAAAAAACAAAAAGAAACACCACCTACCTCGAAGGCG